AACTTGTAGAGAGTGAAGATCCATTGGGGAGTTTTCATTAAATGTTTTACAAAGTTAATGCAGCAGTGTGGGGGATGTGCAAGAGAAGATGGTGAAAGTTGGGGCTTAGCGATCACTTAGAAGTCTGTTTTAATAGTTTAAGGAACAAATAAGAGCCTGGATTAAGACAACAGAAGTGGGAGACGAGGGTACAAATAGAAGAGATGGGGGCAGCTCACTAGGGGTGGAAGTAATAACTCTTTACTATGTCTGTATGTCTCTCATACAAATGTAGAACTCTTGGGATCTGGGTTCTGATGGGTGGACAGAGGTGTCATCTCTCTGAACAGCAGGGAACAGAAGCTTGACGGAAATGGGTTCAAGAGAGAATGTGAGGAGAAAAACTGGAGACATTCCACACAACTCTCTCAAGGAATTTTAGTACTAAGAGAAAGGGAGATATGGGTAATAGCTGAAGGATTTTTTTGTTTGTTTTGTTCTTGGGGAAATAATCCTTCCACATGTCCTTATATTCCTCTTATGGATGTTGGATTGCTGTGTTCTGATGGCTTGTTCTGTTGGGTGGAGAGGATATTGTCCTAAATGAAATGCATATTTCCTTTATCAATCATCCAAAGAAAAGACTCATCCTGGAGTAGGAAATGGAGGATTGAGCTGTAGGTCCTTCTTATGAGGTAGAGGCAATTCAATAGTCTCTTGTTACTGGACTCAGTATATTCTAGAATTGCACAGGGCAATATCCTCTAAATTAAGTTAATAGGATTGGAAATACGAAAAAAAAAATCCCCAAACATCTCTATATGTGTATTTTATTGATTTGCATACTAAATATGTGACTGCATGTGTCAGTATACAAATATATTATATCTATTATAGAACATATAGACATATACAATCATTTTCAAAGGAAGATGTAAAATAGGTATAAAGAGGTTCTGATAGTTTTTTTTCCCTATCCAGTGGATCATTTTTTATATGACTTGAGTGTCATGTGCTGCTCTTTAGAGATCTCTGCTCTCAGAAGCATCCTGAGGATAGAATAAGGACTGGTACTGCCACATGGTAGTGGCCAGGCAGCTGCCTACTGAAGGCTCTTATAGAGATGGACTGGTGTCTGTGGTATTGGGAAGCAGCCATATTTAGTGGGTCAGTTTCACATTAAGTTCTGTAGTCTCATTCCCATCTGGCACCCCCAAGTTCCTCATCAAATACTACAGTCTGGTTTTTACCTTTTCTTCATGGAATTGAGGAAATTTTCTGTGCCACAAATTGTACCCAAGAATTCAAAAATCAGATAGAAGCAGCAGTTATTGTTCATATATTTATCCATTCACATGTTGAATAACATTTACTGAGCACTTAATTTTCCAAGCCCTCTTGGAGCTGAGGCATAGCCTGGAATAAAGCATACAAAAATGGCTGCCTTCTTGAAATTTACATTACAGATGTAAATTCTGAGAAGGATGAGCATTCCAGAAAAGGGACCAGTAAGGTCAGAGGCCTTGAGACAGGAACATGCCTAGTGTGTTGGGGAACAAAGAAACCACTATGTTTGGAGCAACGTGAGTTTGGGTGAGAGGAAAGACTTGAGGTCATGGATGTAAAGGGTGGAAGTATGGAGGATTAGGGTCACAGATTGTATAGGGACGTGTGAATCTTTATAGAAATTTGACTTTTACTGTGAGAGATTTTGGAAAACACCGGGAAATTTTTAGCAGAGAAGTGATATCATGTGAAGGTACTTTAACTGGATCATTCGGGCTGCTGGATTAAAAACAGTCCAGAGTTAAGGTGGTGCATGGGACAGAAGCATTAAGACCTGTCAGGTTTCTACAGTAAAATATTAAAGTAAAATAATGAAAATGGGAGAGATGTTGTTGGCCTGGACTACACTGATAGCAGCGGTCAAATTCTGCATGTGTTTTGGAAGTAGTGTGGTCAGGATTTGCTGATTAGATGTGGCTTTTGAGAAAGAGAGAAGTCAAGATGACACAAAAAATTTCAAACTGAGCAACTGGAAGAACAGAGTTACTTGTTCTTAAGTAGAAAAGATGGTGAAAGAGTGGAATGTCAGGAGGCAGTTTAGACATAAGTGTGAATTGCCTACAGAGTTTATAAATAGACAACCAAATGCAGGTATTAAATAGGCAACTAGATATACCAGAATGAAGTTTAGGAGAGGGACCTGGAACTCTCAGTTTGGGAGTCAATAGCATTTGGATGGTATTTAATGTTATTAAGTGGATGGTATTTAATGCCAAGGGACTGAATAAGATCACCCAGAAGTGAGTATAAGTAGGGGAAAAAATCAAATGGATTCTGGACTTACTGTATTTTGTAATTAGGATTGACAGGATTTGCTGGTAGTTTAAATGTAGGTGTAAAAGACAGGATTTAAGGATGTCTCCAAAGATTTCAGGGAAAAAATGCTATTGATCCTGGGCCTCCCTCTTAAATGTTGGAAATAAAGACTAGACTGAGAAGGAATGTTTAGAAAGGTAGAAATCAAATCAGGTAAGTATGAGGTCTTGAAAGTAAGTGAAGAAAGTGTTTCAAGGAGCAAGCAATGGTAACCTGTGTTAAATGCTGCTGTATTAACATGAAAACTCAGAAATGAAAATTGGATTTCATGTGATGGAGATCATGATCAATCTTGCTTAAAAGCAGTGTCAATTGAGTGATAGGAGCAAAAAGGTGATAATAAGCATTGCTTTAAGTGAGAACTGAGGAAGAAAAATTGTAGACAGAGATTATAAGATTATAGACAATCCTTTTAAGGAGATTTTTGGAGACAAATTGAGGTGATGGTTGCAGGGGAAGTTGTCGTCATTTTCTTAGCTGATATTTTAGGCTGGGACAAATTTGAGCATGTATTTGTGCTAATAAAAATTAGTCAACAGAGAGGAAAACTTTAAAGATACACGAGAAAGCAGGGGAGAAGGCTTTGCATGACACAATGTCCTTGGATAGGCTAGAGAGGATGTGATCTAGTACATGCAACACTGGTGCTGGTGTCACAGAAACCAAGTCCAGCTGCTTGCCTCAAACGAAAACCCTGGCTTGGCTTGCCAAAATCTGTTTCCCCAGAGCATTCAACTCCTGGCTGAGGCTAGCCAAAATCTTTTTATTCCAGGGCATTCAGCTCTTGGCTTGGTTTGCCAAAATCTTGTTACAGAACCCAAGTCTAGCTGCCTGTCCCCAAACTAAACAAAGGCAGAACTAAACAAATGACCCCAAAGTCAAATTGTTGAGGGAATGGCAAGTCAGCTTTATTCAGGAATACTGATAACATAAGAAGAGATGTTAGACTAAACCTCCTCTCCAGTAAACCTGAAGGAGAATGGCCAGACTAAAGCCGTCTCAAAGACTCAGATTTATGGAAGGGTTTTTAAAGAGGGGGTGAGGGAATGGAATGTGGGAAGTGAAAAGCAGGAGGGAGGGGAATGTGTAAGGTGCCAGGTGCAAATTCTCAGCAAGGCTCCATCTAGTGTCTGTTCTCGTCACTGATGTTATCTTAGGGTCCTGTAGGATTTTGATTTGCTTCAAGGTGGAATCAGCATAGATTTATTGACGTCTTCCTTGGTTTCTCAGGGTCTGGATAGTACATGTCTTATGGCAAGTTTGCAGCTCCAGGCTGAGTGGAGAACAACTTTATGTTTATATAAATAATGTCGTTCTGCCCTGTAAATAAGGTTCAAAATATCAAATAACCATGGGAAAAGAGGGAATTCAGAGAAATGAATGCTAAGAAAAAAAAAACTGTGTCTTTTAAAATTTTCCTACAGCTTACGCAGTTTTAGGTCTCAACATGGCTTCAGTCCTGCTCACTCCAACACTGGCTTTTGCTAGGAACATGGAAATATCATCTATATGAACAAGAGAGAAAGTAAAATGTTTTTTGACAAGATGTAGGTGAGTGAATAGATGTCTCAGGAGAAATTCTCTGTGGAATTTATCTTCTGATTGACTCTCTTTTTCAATAGATCATGAAACAAGTTCAAGGTCAAGGAAATGGTCGAGGCAAGCAGGAATATGAATGGACCAGAAAAAATGTTAAGAATTGCTTAGAAGAATAACAGAGCACCTTCAACAGAGGTGGATTTTCATGAACTGAAAACGAGAGATGACAGCATGCTTGTGTTTTTTCCTTTAGTCACATTTAGTGGCCCAGGACAGACGAGAAAGTTTAGATTTGACAAAGGTCATGGTTTAGGTAGATAAGAAAAAGAATGGGGGCAAACTTATTGAAAGTATACCCATGAGAGTGATTGCAATGATTGACCATGAAATTTAATCTAGTTAAGTAGGGAAGTGGGGGGACAGGGTGAGATGGTTAAGGTCAGGGAAAGGTGATAGGATTAATAAACTGTAGGTGCAGTGAGTTCGATTTTTGAAAGACTTTTTGAGTTTATTCATTAGACAAAGTGGCCTGGAATATGAGAGCTGGTGTTCAAAAAGTATGTTTGAAATTCAGATTATGGTGGGATGTCAGTTATCATTAAAGACCCGTTGAGTTGTAGCATGGAGGTGAGAGGCTGGGAATAGGCTGGAGACATGATCACTGTAGGAGATCCTTCCCACCACGAGGAAGGTAGATCTGTTTGCAAGAGTCCAGGCCATTAGGTTATTCCTTGAAGGAGAAGGGGCTATTCGTAAGAAAGTTGGTAGGTTTCAACCAAATGCTCACGATCTAATAGGAAGATTGACTGTGTGGCAGCCAAGCCCACATCGTAGGTGACAATGCATGTCTGAAAGCCGCTGTGTCGGGCCTACAACCACAGCTGCGCAAGGCCCAGGGTGTTGCCAGGTAACGAGGTCTGCACGGCCCCGCCCACTTCCGGTCTCCAGGCTGGGGCTGGGCAGGCCGCCCTAGGGCTTCCATTCTGGCTCTGGGGCTGGAGTCTTCGACGAGCCGTGTGGCCAGGGCGGAGGGGCAGGACAGGTGGTTAGGAACCCCAGAAACACCCTGGTCTGACTGAAGGACTGCAGCCTGCACGGCAATGAAGAAGCTTTTCAGCTTCTGGAGGAGGAAGGTTGACTTAGCCGGCCACTGCTCAGACCTGCCCACAGGCTGGGGCTACAACCTTCAAGACAAGAGTTTAAGGAAATTTCACAAAGCTGCTTTAGTCGGGGATTTGGAGAAGCTGAAGGACTACCTTCAGCTCAAGAAATGTGATGTGAACATGCGGGATAAAAAATACAGGTGACTGGAGCTGAAGAGTCAGTGGGCGGCAAAGGGCAGTGTGGAAAGGAAACAAGGGCCCCTGGGTCCTCCAACCAGAAACAAGATGTGTCCAGTCTGTTTGATACTGGTTGTCACTCTGGCTTTCCCAGAGCAGAGAGATTTCCTGGTAACCACGGTCATCCATGTTGCCATTAATGATATGATTTTATTCTTTTTCATGGCTGAGTAGTATTCCACTGTGTATATACCACATTTTCTTCATCCATTCATCTGTTGGTGGCTGCTTAGGTTGATAACATATTTTGGTTATTGTAAACAGTGCTGCAGTAAGCTTGGGGGTACGGGTATCTCTTTGTATACCTATTTCCTGTCCTTTGGATAAATACCTGGTATGGGATTGCTGGATTATATGGTAGTTTTATTTTTAATTTTTTGAGGAAGTGCCATACTGTATTTTGTAATGACTGTATTGCTTTCTATTCCCACAAACAACTTACTAAAATTCTCTTTTCGCCACATCCTCACCAGCATTTGTTGTTTTTTGTCTTTTTCTCAAGGCATTTTTAAATTTCCATTTTGGTTTCTTCTTTAACTGTATGGTTGTTCAAGAGTGTCTTGTTTACTAGTCAAATTATTACTGTAAGAAAGACCAATTTTACTGATTTTTCAAATGAAGGGAGTTAAAGCAGGTAAAAAACTGTAATAGTCCCATGAGGACAGTTATTAAATACAGAGAAAGAGGCTCATGTTAAAAGTAAAATCATATTCAGACTTTAAAAAATGAAAAAAAAGTGTCTGGTTTAATTTTCAAATATTTGAATTTTCCAGTTTTTGTTCTGCTATTGATTTCTAGTTTCATTTTATTGTGATTCAAAATATATTTGGTATAATTTCAGTCTTTTTAAAATTTTTAAGACTTTTTTTGTGACCTACCATGTGGTTTATCCTGGAGGAAGATCTCTGTGCACTTGTGAAGAATGTGTACAGGAGTCCCCCTTTATCTGTGGGGAGTACGTTCCAAAGCCCCACTGGATGCCTGATACCATGGATACTACTGAACCCAATACAGTCAAGTGTTGTGTAACCATGGGAATCCATTCTGAGAAATATGTCATTAGGTGATTTCATTGTCATGCATATATCATAAGTGTACTTACACAAACCTAGATGGTTTAGCTACTACAAACCCAGGCTATGTGGTATAGCCGTATACAACCACTGTTGTCTATGTGGTCTGTCATTGACTGAAACATTATTATATGGTGCATGACTATATAATATGTTTTTTCTGTACATACACACCTATGAATATTTATGAATTAGGTACAGTAAGAGATTAACAACAATAACTAATAAAATAGAAAATTGTAACGATATGCTGTAATCAAAGTTATGTGAATGTGTTCTCTCTCTCAAAATATCCTATTTTGCTGTATTCACCTATCGTTGAACCATGGTTGACCTCCAGTAAATGAAACCAAAGAAAGTGAAAATGCAGATAAGTGGGGGACTACTGTATTCAGGAGCTGTAAGGTAGAATGTTTTGTAAATATCTGTTAGGTCTATCTGATCTATAGTGATATTCAATTCCTCTGTTTCCTCATTGATCTTCTGTCTGGATATGTGTCCATTTTTCAAGTGGTTATTGAAATCTCCTTGTATTATTGTGTTGTCGTCTATTAGTCCCTTCAGTTCTGTTGATGTTCACATTATTTATTTAGATGCTCTGATGTTATATGCATATATATTTATAATTATTATATCTTCATGGTGGGTTAACCCTTTTATCATTATAAAATGTCCTATTTTGTCTCTTCTGACAGTTATTGACTTAAAGTCTATTTTGTATGATACTCGCCTAAGTATAGCCACCTCTGCTCTCTTTTGGTTACCATGTGTATGGAATATCTTTTTCCATCCCTTTGTTTATAGCCTATTTGTGTCCTAAATCTAAAGTGAGTTTCTCATAAAGAATATATAGTTGGGTCTTGTGTTTTATCTATTCAGCTACGCTGTGTATTTTAATTGGGAAATTTCATTCATTTACATCTAAAGTAATTATTGGTAGGGAAGGTTTTACTATTGCCATTTTGTTAGTTGTTTTCTATTAGTTTTGTAGTTCTTTTGTTTGTCTTTTCCTTTTTTGCTATCTTCATTTGTGCTTTTTTAAAAAATAATATTTATATGCTTCAATTCCTTTCTCCTCTTTTGTGTAACTTATATAGGTATTTGTATGTATGTGTTTACTTTGGGGCTTACATAAAATATGTTCTAATTATAACAGCCTATTTTAAGTTGTTAACAAAATAAGTTCAATAGCATACAAAAGCTCTGCACTTTAACTTTCCACCTACACTTTGTTATTGTTGTCACCATTAATACCTATTCATATTGTGTATCTTTTAACATATTTTTTAGTTATCATTATTTTTAATACTTTTGTATTTTAACTTTTCTAGTAGAATTAAAAGTGATTTAGTCACCACTGTTACAGTAAAACTGTATGCTGTTTTTTCTATATATTTACCTTTACCAATGAGTTTTATATTTGCTTATGCTATTATGTTGCTGTTTAACATCCTTTTATTTCAATTTAAAGAACTCCCTGTAACATTTCTAGTAATACAGATCTAGTGGTGATGAACTCCTCCAGCTTTTGTTTGTCAGAGAAAGTTTTATTTATACTTTATTTTGAAGGATAATTTTGCCAGGTATAGTATTCTTGGTTGCTAGATTTTCTTTCAGCACTTTGAATATATCATTCCACTCTTTCTTGACTGCAAGATTTCTGCTGAAAAAAACCCAATGGTAATCTTATGAGGGTTCCCTTGTGCATGATAACTTGCTATTTTTTTGCTGTTTCCCAAATTCTCTTTGTCTTTCACTTTTGAATTTGTGGCTGATTTCTTAGTTCCTTGGAGCACATAGATTGGCGCTGAGATTTTTATTAGGGGTTTAACTGTCACAGTAGATTTTAGACTTCAACTGGAAGGGTAAATTATTTAGCAAGGGTATAGCAGCCATTTTTGGAAGACCTATTGGGAATTACCCAAATGCCCTTTACTTTCTCTTATAGAGAGTAGTATTTTTTAAAAATTAATTTAAAAAGAAAACTGGTGTTGGAGAGAGAGGTAGGTTTAAGATTGGGTGGAAACCAAATTGTTAAGACATGTATAACAGTGCATGAAGGAGACAGATCAAAAGGTTTGCAAGGATTTGCTATGCTATTGCAAGGAGTTATTTTAGGTGGCCTTAAAGTGATTTAGCCATGAATGTTTGGTTTAGGGCTAGAAAAACTTTCTATTACATAAGAAATTTCATTCTTAAGCCAAATTGTCACCAGATATTTGCTTGGTAAGGATGGAATCACAGCAAAGTAAGTTAAATAGTTTTGAAGGATATTTCATTTAGACCATGATATCTGATGAATTATTTTTGTCCTACAACAAAGTATTCCTTTGCAATGACTAGAAAGTATGAGTTCCTTAAATTCAGATGGTCTTTTCCATGGAAGATGTTAATTAACTATGGATAACTTCTGGTTCCATTCTGTCATCCAAGCTGATGGTCCTCTTACTGATTATTGACTTTCTTTGGCTAGAGAATAATATAATTGATTAGGATTCCATTTTTTATATTGAAATTATATTACAGTCTTGCCTTCCAGAGATTACATTTAGATAACCTAGACTGGAATGTTAGCATTCCCAAATTGTTCAAAGCTGTTTTTATATTTTCCTGCTTTACTTCCATAGATGGTAAGTCATACCATTGTGCATGAGGTTTGTCAGTTTAGATCTTTGAAAGTTACCTCACTTTCAAGTTTTTGAGGGCCACATTTTTGCTACTTCTATATGACAATAACAGGTCTATTTAGTTACCCATAAAGTACTTCTGAGGACATAAAGTGAAGCAGAGAAATAGCATCCAGAGTTTCTTGTTTGGGACATGAGCTATCTAAATATGGACACTTTATAATAAAATTATCTGAAAGTAAGTGTATCATAAATTATCTGAAACTGCAGAGTTTAAATGAAGCTAATTAGTGTTCTGTCGTACTTCATGAATGTTTGCTTGGTATCTGCTAGGCCACTTAGAGTAGGGTTCTTTGAGGAGTGGAAATTAGTGCAGTAATTTAAAATTAGGTTGATATGTACAATTTAGAGAGTCCTAAGGCATCTTCATCTTTGTGTTCATCTCTCAGATGAAAATACCAACTTTAATAGCTAGGCAAAGAGAGAGCAATAGACAATTAGGAATAGCATGCCATCAAATAGGCAATATCCCTTATTCCTATTATCCATGAGACGTATATTAAGTTTTGAATATTATTTCTAAATTTTATTGTGATGCCTAATTTTGTCATCCTTTCCAAGGCCCAGACACCATTTTGATGTTTGAAAAAACCTGTTTTAAATTTATTAGAGTTTCCTTTGAAGAGAAACTAGTTAAATATTTGATCTTCGAGGCACTTGCATAGCCTTTTAAATTAAAAAAGTTATAATTAATAAGTTTTGTGTAAATACAGGCACATGTCACTTAACAATGGGATACTTTCTAAGAAATGCATCATTAGGTGATTTTGTCCTTATGTGTTTCGTCATTTGTACTTACACATAGATGGTATAGCCTACGATACACCTAGGTTCTATGGTATAACCTATTGCTCCTAGGCTACAAACCCGTACAGCATGTTGCTATTCCCAATACTTTAGGCAATTATAACACAATGGTATTTGTGTATCTAAACATATCTAAACATAGAAAAAGTACAGTAAAAATATGGTATAAAAGACAAAAAGTGGTGTACCTATATAGGGCACTTATAAATGGAGCTTGTAGGACTGGAAAATGCTCTGGGTGAGTCAGTGAGTGAGTGGTTAGTGAATGCGAAGGTTTAGGACATTAAAGTACACTACTTTAGATTTTACAAATTCTTTCCACCTAGTCTGCACTAAATTTATAAAAAAATGCATTTACTTTCTCAATAATAAATTAACCTTTGCTTTTTACTTTATAAACCTTTAAATTTTGTTAACTTGTGACTATTTTGTAGTAACACTTAGCTTAAAATACAAACACATTGTACAACTGTACAAAAGTATTTTTTCTTTATATCTATTCTATAAGCTTTTTTCTGTTTAAAAATTTATTTTATTTTTTACTTTTTAAACATTTTTTTGGTCACAAACAAAGAGACAAACACACACATTAGCCTAGTTCTACACAGGGTCAGGATCATCAATATCACCATCTTCTATCTCCTCATCTTGTCCCACTGGAAGGTCTTCAGGGGCAAAAACATGCATGGATCTGTCATCTCCTATTATAACAATGTCTTCTTCTGGAACACCTCCTGAAGAACCTGCCTGAGACTCTTCATAAGGTGGTGTCACTCTTTTCAGAAATATGGCCACGGTGATTTGCTTTTGCTTGTTTCCCCCCCCCCCCCCCCCCCC